CGTGGAGCACCACATGGAGGTGCACAACATGGAGGGCCCCACAGAGGTGCACAACATAGAGCACCCCAAGGAGCTCCACATCCTGGACATCAAGGAGCACCACGCCCGGGTGCCCTATTGGGCACCCCACTTCGAAAAGCCCAACATGAGGGAGCTGCACCTCCCCTTCCCCTTGCTTTCCAGGGAGAGGACCCTTATCTCCAGGAGGATGAGGGTGAAAACCAAAGCATGGGGCATGGAAGCCACTTCCATGATCATTCCAGAAGAGCCCCCAATCATTGGGACGAGAAGATAAAGGAGGTACAGAATCAACTCGGTGATGTCTTCAACGCCATAAAGGCACAAGGATCCGAGACTGTTGACCACCTGGTAAGGCGTACTGATACCCCTTTCAAACCTGATGTAGCGAACTACCCCCTCCCTCAGAAGTTCAAGATGCCATCTGTAGAGACCTTTGATGGAACAAAGGATCCACTGGACCACCTCGACACTTACAAGACCTTGATGCAATTGCACAACGTACCAGACGAAATCATGTGCAGGGCATTCCCAACCACATTAAAGGGGTCTGCCCGACAGTGGTTTGCTAAGCTCTCCCCCGCCTCTATTGCCTCTTTCGCCGAGCTTAGCAGATCATTCGTCTCACACTTCATAGGAGGGCGTCGCCACCAGAAACCAGTTACACATCTGCTTAGCATAAAGCAGGACCGCGAGGAGAGCCTGAGGAGTTACCTCACTCGTTTTTAACGAGGAGGTACTCCAAGTTGATGAACCCGACGACAAGGTGACGATGACCGCCTTCTTGGGTGGCCTCCGTTCATCAAGTTTTCTTTTCTCAGTTCTGAAGTGCCCACCGAAGAGCATGCCGGAACTATTCACAAAAGCTCAAAGATATATGAATGCTGAGGAAATCAACAAGTTTAGGCAAGGTGGATCATCTCATAGATCACCAAAAACTTAGCCTCTGCACTATTCTCAAACAGGCAGCCTATCTCCAGTTTAGCGGTTCTCTCACGGATCGCCAAAAAACTTGGCCTCTGCACTGTTTTCAAACAGGCAGCCTATCTCCAACTTAGCGGCTCTCTTACAGGTCGCCAAAAAACTTGGCCTCTACACTGTTCTCAAACAGGCAGCCTATCTCCAGTTTAGCGGTTTCTCTCACGGATCGCCAAAAACTTGGCCTCTGCACTGTTCTCAAACAGGCAGCCTATCTCCAGTTTAGCGGTTCTCTCACGGATCGCCAAAAAACTTGCCCTCTGCACTGTTTTCAAACAGGCAGCCTATCTCCAGCTTAGCGGCTCTCTTACGGGTCGCCAAAAAACTTGGCCTCTGCACTGTTCTCAAACAGGCAGCCTATCTCCAGTTTAGCGGTTCTCTCACGGATCGCCAAAAACTTGGCCTCTGCACTGTTTTCAAACAGGCAGCCTATCTCCAGTTTAGCGGTTCTCTCATGGATCGGCAAAAAAAAAAAAAAAAAAAAAACAAAAAAAAACAAAATAAAACTTGGCCTCTGCACTGTTCTCAAACAGGCAGCCTATCTCCAGCTTAGCGGCTCTCTCACGGGTCACCAAAAAAGCTTGGCCTCTGCACTGTTCTCAAACAGGAAGCTTATACCTCAAGCTTAAAGACTCCCTCATGGGTCGCCAAAAGCTAGGTCTCAAAAAGTGTTTCTCTCTCACGAGCAGTTCTCCAACTCTGTCTTTGCTTTCGCGCAAGCAGCCTACTTCTCTCTCTCTCCAGGTAATATGTGAGATATTTTAATGTTTGGAATAACATTATTTTTGTCATCACAAGTAGGTTCTCCCGAGGCAGCCCTAGGCTCACCCAAGACGCCCAGCACCTGGAGAAAGGCTTGATCATCAAGAGCAGTACCCAAAGGTTCCTTACTACTTGCAATGTCTAGCCCAACGCCTAGAAGTGTGTCTGACTACTGTTGCTCGTCAAAACAAAGTTGCCCAGTAGCTTGAAGGGTGTCTGACCCTTCAAAATTGCGCAAAACAGAATTTTCGGCGTAAAAATCAGCACCTAAGACGCCCAAATCAGCACCTCGAGTGGGAATCGGATTAGCCCATGCTCCCAGGCCACTGCCTAGCTCTCCCTGACAAACCTTAGACTGATTTTCAGCGCCCCTTGATGAAAAAATGCTACTGCCCAGCATTCCAAAGCCGCCCAGTGCAGCAGATCTGAAGCTGTCCAGGACAGCAAGGCCAGCGCCCAGGCAGCTGCCCAGCGCGCCTGGGCTATCCAGGATGCGAGGAGCAGAGCCTAGGCAGCCGCCCAGGCCCCCAGCGCCTAAGCCCCCAGCGCGCGCGCGCTGCCTGCGCTGCCTTGTGCAGCCTGCGCTGCCTTGCGCAGCCTGCGCTGCACGCCTGCGCTGCCCAGCGCTCTGCACAGCCTGCGCTGCCTTGCGCAGCCTGCGCTGCACGCCTGCGCTGCCTTGTGCAGCCTGCGCTGCCTTGCGCAGGCTGCGCTGCCCAGCGCGCTGCCTGCGTAGCCTGCGCTGCCCAGCGCGCTGCCCAGCCTGCGCTGCCCAGCGCGCTGCCCAGCCTGCGCTGCCTTGTGCAGCCTGCGCTGCCTTGCGCAGCCTGCGCTGCGCGCCTGCGCTGCCCAGCGTGCCTGCACAGCCGCGCGCCTACGCTGCCCAGCCGTCTCCCTTTCTTCAACCTCCACCACTCCCTTTTCAAAATAAAATGGAAAAGATTTGAAGTTTAAAAAAAAAAAAAAATGTAATCAATGCCTCCTTCTCCAAGTCTCCTTGGACATGGGGCATCGGGGGGCAAATGATGGGTTAAGCCCAAGTAGTCCAATTTATGTATTAAAGCCCAACCCCGGTTGAGGAGCCCAACCTCATCGTGAATCCACCAAGTCCAAGACAGAGTAAGACCGGCTAGACTTCTTGCTTAGCACGTCACCAAGAGGAAAGCACGGGAAGTTTATCTACACCGCCTTAGGGAGCCCAAGGCCGGTTGGACTTCTTGCTTAGCACGCCACCAAGAGGAGAGCAAGGTTGGACTTCTTGCTTAGCACGTCACCAAGAGGAGAGCACAAGAAGCTTATCAACGGTCCAATCTTTGACCACGTTTCCTTCAAGAGTTCCCCAAACTCTTCCTTCCGTTGAGAATAAGTCGTGATCTCCACCGAAGATAATCTCTAAGCTGCGATAAAGAAGCCTTGAGGATATGTTATGATCTCCACAAGAATGATCTCTTATCTACTATAAAATGGCTCTAATCTGAGAGAGAAAGGGACACACCCCACCAGAGGCATACAGAAGACAAACCGACTACCAGAGATTATTATTTTTCTTTGATTCTCCATTCTCTCTCTCAAAGCTTGTATCTCCATTCTCCATACCTTTGAATCAATAAAATACCCGGCAACTGAAGCCATTGAAGAGTGGACGTAGGTCGAATTGACCGAACCACTATAAATTGTGTCTTCTTTAATTTTCTCATTGATTTCATTGCATTTATTATCTATACTTGACAGGTGGTGTGCAAAACCATTTTTGTGCATCATCAGTATTTATATACGATATTCGTCGAATGTTTAAAAATATATATTAAATACACATTACACATATCGGGTATGAAAGTGCATACTCAAACAATATCTGTAAATTTTAATTTTAATTTTAATTTTAATATTTATCTTGAGTTCCCATATAATGTAGCACATAAAAAAATTTGAACAACATTAAAGACACATGAATATTTATTAAGTATTATTTATTCTCTTAATTTATTTATTTTTACTTGAATCTATTCTCTCAAGTTAAAAGAGAATAAAATGAGTTCATTACACTATATCTCTTGACAACAAGTATTTTTAAGCAAACTAATTAGTTAGAGTTTGGTTCTAATGTTATAATGAGTCACGTTCACTATGTTGTGAATATATTATAATGAATGTGTTTGTCAAATATAAAGGGTTTAAAGTCGAAAGCCACATTGCCAACCTATTAGTATACATTTATATCGCGTTCAATGCCTTGATGTATATCTCAAGTCACTATTTATTTCCTTTTCATTATATTTATAAAAAAAGTCAATTCTTTTGGAGGGAGAGCTAGAAAATCGTTATAGGACAGACACTTTAACAAGTTTTAAATTTTTTTCTACTAATCCCTAAAAATAATATAATACATTTATATATTTTACTTTACATTTGATACTTAAAAATTTAATAAATACAAAAGCCCACGATTTCATATTGTATGCAAATAAAAAAATAATTATAAACCTTACAAAAACTAAAAGATCTAGCTTATTTTTCATACATCAAGAAAAATATTGCATAAGAACTTCTTCCTGGTATTTTCAAAAATTTCTTTCTCAATCTAATCAATCATTCATTCATCATCAATTTGATCAAACGAAGTCATCACATCGCAAGCTTTATAGTTAATTTTGTTAATTCAAGTTGTCACCCTAGTGTTTTTATGTACTCACAATAATTTTCATTTAATAACCCAAAAATTCCCATAATATTTTTAAACATAACAAAACGACTTCAATATGTTTTGAATTTATCCAAATATAATTATAATGTGTCCAAAACACAGTCGAAAGTTCACTTATTAGTTTATCCTAATCAATATTAAAAAAAAATAGATTAGATATAATCAAACTACTCAAAAAATACTTAAAATCTATATAATAATACTAATTAAAAAAATATTAGGGTGGCTATTTGACCACCATGGCACTCACTTGGCCCCGCCGGTGATTTCTTTCCACCTCTTCGAAGACGTAAATAACTTTTACACTGGGCAATTTTTCACGTGTCACCGGTGGCCCGCCCCCCCCCCCCCCCCCCTTCCCCTTTTTTTCTCTCTCCTGTCTCTCTCTCCTTTTTTCTATATAAAGAGAGCTCAGTACTCATGAAGCCATACATCTAGACTAAGTAAAAAAATCTAGAGGCACCAATCTATTCTCTGGCAACCACCCTAGATTGGTCTACAGAACTGACCAACCCAAAAGAAAAATAAAATAAAAAAAATGTTGCAATCTACCGTCCACCGGTCAAGCCCTGCACAAACCCTAATCCAATGGCACAAACCCTTCATCTTCGGCGAGATCACTGCACCATTTCTTCTCCATCAGAGGTCTGTAATTCCCAAAAGAGAGAAGAGTTTTCGTGTTCGTCACGTCTCGAGCACCATTAAAGCAGTGGCGGGCTCAACTGAGAAATCCACCACCGTTAAAGTTGTTGTTACAGTTCTTGCAACGGCCGGCGGGTTACTATCAAACCTCGGGTTGACCCGTGGGCTCGACGATATATCCGATTTGTTTGGTAGATCACTCCTCTTGGAGCTTGTTGCTGCCGAGCTTGATCCCAGTAAGTGCTCATCAACAAGATGATACAGAACTTTATTGAAATGTTGTGATGGATTAAAAACAACCAAAAAATAAGTTATAATTTCAGATTTTAAAGTTATAACTATCGTGATTGATTATAAAATTTTTGTTCCAACCATGTTTTTTTGTAATTTTAACTTATACTTGAAAAAATTTTAACTTAATCTTAAATATCATAAAGTTGCCCTTAATTTTGCAACTAGTTTAATTTGTCATATGTTTTTGATTTATTTTTAATTTTACCTTGGAATTATTAAATTGGTGAGGGTCAGAACAATTGACTTGTCCTCTTTTGTGTTGCTTTGCTGGAGAAATGGATAAAAAGGGTCAGATTTTCATGATTTTAAAAATTGAAGGGAAAATTTGAAAAAAAAAAAACAGATTGAAACTGATTACAAAGTTCACAGGCATTCATCATGTTTTCCGACAAATAATACTTCTCTTATAATGGAAACTATTTTGGGAATAATCCGTATACCCTACTCCTACTCCAAATCAAGTTTGATCACCAATCCTTAATGATTTGTTTGTTGGGAGTAACAATGTAACACGTGGGTTGCATATGTAATTAAATAAAATTATAAATTAGGTGTCAAATAATTATTTTGTATTTTGATTATTACTAAATTTAATTATTAATTTACTCTATATAAATTTTTTAGTCCCTAATCTGTCATTTATTTTGGTATTTCAATGCAACAAAACAAAAACATGTCTTTTGTGGTTCTCCAATAATGATCAGCTGTAGCAAGGATATTTTTAAAAAGTAATTCTTTCAACGAGGACAGAGTGAGAAAGAGATTCTCGTACAGTGGTTTTACATGGGTACAATACAATATGAAATGAATATAACGATACGATAAAATTTAAAAAAATAAGATACGGGTATGATTAAGATACGACTATAATAAAATATTTTTAATATTTTTATTATTTTTAACCAGCTTAATACTTATTTATTTTAGTAGTTCTTTAATATACAATAAAAAAATTAATAATTTTTTTTCAATTTCAAGAAAATATATATTGTATCGCTGTAATATATTTAAAAAGTGAAGTGACTAATTAAATAAATTAAAAGTAGTATTTACCTATTATTTAAAAGTAAGTTTTTCTAAGATAATAATGTAATAACTTTATTTTATGCTATTTTGACATGTAATTGTAGATAATACTTGAAAAATACTCATGTGCCATTGTAGTAATATGAATTTTTTGTTAATGTATTGTATGATATGTGAATTCGAAAAGAGATGTTAAAAGTTCAATTCAAAAATTATATATGTTGTTCGATCACAAAAGTATCTGTGAAGTATCATAATATTTAATTATTATCGGATACGTAAAAAATGTATTTGATATATATTTTTGAGTATCTGACGAATATCATATTCGATACGATATTAAATACAAATACGTTAACTTCAACGAAATATTCGTACATGACCTTGTAAATCACAAAAAAAAAAAATCTGTAACATTTTGTGTCGTACGGTATGGACCACCAATATGATAGGAACAACCGAACAAGACAACTTGCACATGCAGACATTGGGCTGGCGTCTTAACCCAAAGTGGTCCCTATAGCCACTTTACCCAAAATGTTCCCTGTATCAAGAAGAGGTGATGGATTGTAAAGGCAATTTTATCATAATTGGATCGAATATCGAACCAATTAGAATATTAGATTAATTATTTTTTTTTTTAACAAAATATGCACAAAAAAAATACACATAACAATTCACACGACAAAACTCAACAGACACATAGAGAGAAACTCACAAACCAATTTTTCTTTGCATTAATGATTCAGTTCAATTATTGGGTGATCGAACCAGTTTTATAATAAAAAAAATAAAAAAAAAATAAAAAAATTATATAATATAATAATTTAGTTAAAAAATCACATCATAATAAAAATTACGCTATGTATTATATAGTGTACGGTGTTTTTTTTACTGTACATGTTCACCGTGTGTGTATGCACGTGAAGAGAGAGAGAGAGAGAGAGTGGAACCAGCTGGCTCTGGCTGTGTTGGGTTGTAGATTAGGAAAAATAAAATAAAATGAAAGGGCAGAGAAGCTTGAAGAGGCAGATGTCACACAACTCAGATGGAACTCAGATGGAGTACTCTGATGACGAGGAGAAGAAGACTAACAAAGCTCAGGAGGAGATCAATGGTTGAAAAGGAGGTCGAGATCTGTGGTTTGGCCACTGTTCGAGTTAGATCTAGAAGCAATGGGGACGAAGAAGACGAAGACGAAGACAAAAGGGCCGGTGTTGTTTTGAACCAGCCGGTTTTAGAAATTTCGGTTTACTGGTTTTTGAAAAAATCGGCAAATTTTTCAGTTTTTGACTGGTTCAATTCTTTAAGTGATCTAATTATAGAACCGGACTGTTTAAGATTTCGGTTTACGGTCTAATCGGTCCGACCGGCATGTGCGATTCGATTCTAATAAAATTAGCTGTAGGTTGTTTAGGTAGGTTACGAGTTACAAAACTAACTTAACTGGGTCACAATCTTTGGTACTATATTTTAAGTTTTGTGGTTTTTTTGATAATTTTCTATATGCAACTATATTGATAACTCGTACAAGTCTTATATATTATTGTAATTAGATTTGAATGAATTAAAAGTAAAAAAAAAAAAAAAAGAGAATGGATAGAACTCCAAAAAGAGAAACAATAGAATATAATCCTCGTGAAGAATAATACATAAGAGATCAATCCATACCTTTGTCCCCTAACCTCAAAATTGGGAGTTTTCAAAGGTGGTAGATTGAATTTGATTTGTCGTACTGAAAAGTTACTTGTGTCAATTTGTGCAAAAACTAGTATAATGTTACGACTGTATCAAAAGAAGTGATAAACCAATGAGGTTTTGTAAAATTTGGTTTATTTGATCCAATGAGGTGACCTAATTTAGTCATAACTTGGTTTATTTGAGATATTACTTGATTTGATGGAATTGCAACTTTAAGTAAGGGTTCTGAAACTCACAAAAAATTGTTTTATTGTTTTTTTTTATTTGTACTTTTTGGAAGAGACGGGATCGGAGAAGAAAACAATTCAGGGATATGCGCACCGGACAGGCAACGACGAGAATGAGGTGAAGTATGAATTGGATATTGAAATTACTCAAGATTTTGGGGAGGTTGGTGCTATTTTAGTAGAAAATGAGCACCACAAGGAGATGTATCTGAAGAATATAGTTCTTGATGGATTTCCTCATGGGACTGTTACTGTGACCTGTAATTCATGGGTTCATGCAAAGTTTGATAATCCTGATAAGAGAATTTTCTTCACCAACAAGGTCAGTCACCATCATGTTTCTTAATATCTGTTAAACACCCATACAGTCACTCTTTCTTTTTTTTTTTTTTTTTTTTTGGAAATTAGAAAAGATGGGACCCACAGTTTAACTCCATCCAGGAAATTAGAGTAAGGATGTGCATATACCAAAATCCTTACTAGATTTTGTTTACTAGATTCCACCCTAGCTAGCTCCGCAGTAAATAGGACTCAGTCATAGGTGGTCCTCGTAGAAACGTGTTAGCTATATGAAGACCAATACTGTCGTTGTTAATTAGGTATAGTATTGAAAACTATTCGTTTTTGTATTATACCTATATTTTTCATGTAACAAAATTTAGACACAAATAAACTTTTTTAATTTTATAATTAGTAGCTATAAATCAATGAAATTAAAATCAACCGTTGTCGTTTTAATTTTAGTTATGATGCCCAGTGAATACCATAGTGCTATCCTGATTAATTATTTGGTCCATCAGTAAAATGTCTTGTGCATACGAGTCAAGTGACCACAACCAAGACTTCTGTGGCTCTATAGATTCTCTCAAATGTCTTTCTCTGCCAAATGCGCTATAATATATATGTGTGTTTGTAACGTGCAGTCATACTTACCATCGCAAACACCAAGTGGGTTGAAGAAGCTGAGGGAGAAAGATCTAACACTTGTCCGAGGTGATGGCCAAGGAGAGAGAAAGGCATTTGAGAGAATTTATGATTATGATGTTTATAACGATCTTGGCGACCCCGACAGCAGCGACGACTTGAAACGACCGGTGCTTGGTGGCAAGGAACACCCCTACCCAAGGCGTTGTCGAACAGGTCGCCCACGCACTGAAAAAGGTATGGAAGTATGGCATAGTTATGTCCTTTCAACCAAATAATTTCTGCCACTTGTTTTACATATGCCTAGTTTATCTATATTATTTGAATTTAATTTGTTAATTTAATTGCTCACGGTTATTACTATTAGATTGAAGGTGATTTTTAGTATTATTTCGGATCCATTACTAATTTAATAGTTACTATAAATTATGTTAATAAATTAAATCTAAATATTATTATTGTTAAATATGTATTCCAAGTCAATAGCGATTACTTCCCTCCAATTGGGGTTTAATGGCCAGTTTGATATGATTGATGCAAAAATGAAAATAAATAAAATAGGAGCGATACACTTTTTGTTCTCAGAGTAAAGAAATATTTATGCATAATGCGTAATACATTTTATTCTAATTGATAAAAAGAAAATAGGACTGATGCACTATTTTCATTTTTCCATAATGCCTATATTTTATTCTAATCGTTAAAAAAAAATGACACATTTATACAATTTATTTTATTAATGAACCTTAAAAATTTTATGCATACATGTACAATAGAAAAAAGATTAATTATACTCTTTTTATTGAAAATGAGCTTAATTGTAGTTAGTTACAATTGACTTAACAAACTTTCATACTTTGATTGTTTTGTTTGATGATGACTTCATTATTAACGACTAAAGGGTATACCATGTATTTTTTTTATTTTAAATTTTTGTGAGCAAAATCACAAATTTCTGCTAGGTTTAAACTAAAGGCTAAAGTACACATCAATAATAAATGATCAAGTTGATCAAAAGATTTTAAAATGAACCTCATAGGTCCAAACTAATCCAAATATATTTGAAGTATGTCTATTCTTAGTCATTTAGGTATGAGTGTATACTAATTGATATGACAAGAAATATAGTAATGTTATAGAGATCTAATTTAATGTAGCCATTGAATTAATTCGTTGTAACTTTCAAGGTTAGATGAGGCCACTTTTAATTTAATGGCTATGTTAGGGACTGTTTGATAACACCACTTAAGGTTTAAAACTGAATATTTTAAACACTTAATGAATTAAACATGTTTGATAACTTAAAACTCATACCACTTAATATTTTATGCACTTCTTAAACTTATGCTAAAATTTTAAGTGGCAATTTAGCTAATTATCACTTACTGTTAAAAATTTTAGTTAATAAAGATTTTATCAATTTTTCATAATGAACAAATATATGCTCAATGTATTTTACATTCTTTAACTTTTCAATACCCATTATTCATCGCCACCGCACCACCACTATTATGCTATCGCCACGACCATCAATACTGCCACCACCATCACCATTGTGTCGCCGCATCACAACTATCATTGTGTCACCACCATCGCCACCACCATATGTTGCTGTCACCACCATTATTGTGTTGGCATCGCCACCATTACCATTGTGTCATTGTCGCCACGACCACCACCATTGTTAAATTGCCACTACCAAAATTACTACCACCATTGTCGTTACAATTGTATCGCTGCTACCACCATCATTATGTCACCACCAACAACATAGCATCACTTTTGCCTCTACCATTGTGTCACCTACCATCATTACTATTACTATCATCACCTCTACTACTACTTTTTCATCATGCTTGAAACACACTAACAATTTTTTTATTCGTAAAAGTTAGTTAAAAGTGTGAATATATTGACTAAAGAAAGAGGGAAGTAAGGAGTACTAGAACTTTTGATACGCGTAATCATTTTATTCATTGCATGCGTTAGTTAAACTTAGATTATTTCACTTGTGCAAATGCAGAT